ATCCTGACTTCTCATAAATTGGGTGAACTTTTAGAAAGCACGAGTCATATGAACAGCTTTACTACCTTTGTCGAATAGACCAGGTTTCACAGAACTGAAGTAGGACTCTGCACTAACATGGTTCTACATAGATACTGAAAATGGTACAACAGTCCTGTAGATAATGGGAAGAAAAGAGTGAATTTTAATAGATAGGCTTTTAAATCGACAAATCAATTACTTCTTGTCTTAGTTTGCCGGATATTAATAAATTAGGGATATAAAGTTTTTTATTTCCTAGTGTTACAAAGTGCCATTTGAAATGTCTGTTTAAGCAGGACAAAAGGATGTCAGTCTGTCTCACTTTCAAATGTTTCAAGCCCTGGTATTTTTTCTCCGCTGTTTCATTACCAAAATAAACTACTTCGCTAGCACATATTTCATAAATTAGTCACTAAATAACAAATTCATGGCAGAGTATTAAAGCTCAAAAACATTAGTAGTTTTCATCTGGAAATGCAAATAAAAGCTTGACTAGAAACAAAAGATATTAACTTCTTTGTACCGTTTATTGATTAAATTTAAGTATGAAAAGTTCATCCATAACTTCAGATGCGTGGTACAAACAAAGTTTCAACATGGCCGGTTGGATTTGCAGGTGAACTCCCATGGGAGGGTTGTGTGACGTCTAAAAATCGGACGCACATTATAAGTATGTGGTCAGTATACAAACCCGAGCGTCCTTTTCCAATTGATATGGCAGGATTTGCAGTTAATATTGATCTTATTCTTCAACACAAGAATGCTGGATTTGACTACAAACGTTTACGTGGAATGCAGGAATCACAATTTTTGTTAGATCTTGGTTTAAAAAATTGGAGAGAATTGGAACCACTAGCAGATGGTTGTCGGAAGGTAAGTTGTACTGTTCTCAAATTTTATTATGCGTATGCTGGTACCTGTTGTTGATCCATATCCATCTTTATGTAGTAGGTCACTTGTCGGATCGCGAAAGGGTTTTTGACATTTTAGTGGTATTCACTACACTTATTTTGAAATATGCAGTGTAAAAATCTTAATGTGTCGTGAAATTTCGTCGTAAAATTGGATTCAATACCTAACCTCTGCTTTCATTGTTCGATCACCTAAACTTTTCATGTGGTTGTTTATTATTTGGCCACTTCATCATTATACTTGTCTGTTCAATTACCAATATTGTGTTTTACAGCTGCAGTTATTCTGTGTGCACTCAACTGACTAGCACAAGCATTCAAGCTGAATATTATCTATTTATTATTAACCTAAGACGTTGATTTCAAGAATGATAGAGAATGAAAACAATAATGGCAACAATGCGGGTTTTGATTGTTCATAATGATAGATATTTCATAACTGATAAGAAATCGACAACCGGAAGCATTGACACTAAACTAGAAACAATAAAAATTATAGCGTTAACATAAATGAATACTTGAAACTAGATGATGTTCGTAGGCTAATAGTATATGATCATAGATGCCTTCAGAGTGTTTCTCGTGGATGTTGGAACCACCAACCAATGTTGAAGTTAGATACATTGTACTAGGTGAGAATGACAAATTTATTGATGAGGCGGTAAATATCCGTTGACTGTAATAATCAGGTCATGTACTACCTACACCCAACCACCAACGATGATGACGTGTAGCAGTAGGTCGAAAGAAAGCTAACGGTAACCAAACTTAGACTTTACATCAGTCCTTAAAGTCACCGACTATTGTATGAAGCTATATAGATGAGTGTAGGCGGCTGGGTAATATCTGCGCGATTTTCTTAACCAATGATTAGAGACTTTGGGTGATTTATCGGGGCAGGTGCACTCAATGTTTATCTTCTCTCAAATCTTAAGTTTCTAAATTTTTTTTGTGACTTCTTTACTTCATGAATCCATATTTTCTTGAATGCTATCTTCTGTACTTAGTGTTTCCTAATACTGCTAACACTGTGCTGCTTATACGTCTTCTTCCTGTGATGTGATGTAGCAACTTGAATCGATGCACAAATATCCTAGGTTTTAGAGGAGAAGCGAAAAATCATCTCTTTCGCTGTTGCTAAAATTGTTAACATAATCTGAGCATTCACTAATATCATATTACATGTACATTCGTATAATTATTCAGCTTATTTTATTCCAAATACTTTTTACAATCTCCAGACATAATACAGTTATTATTTTTCGCTTGATAGTAATTTATCACAGTAACTAATTCACCAAGCATATGAGTGTGTGCCTCTCTCTAAGTATGAGGACTAGTGATACTATTCAGTAGTTCAATCTCAAGCAGATAAAGCGGGGTTTGAAATTGGGATTTAGTAACTGCAAACCGCTCCGCTAATAATAAAATAGTATTCGTAATATATTGATTCCTTAGTATCATTTAATCTGAAACCATCTTCCAGCTGTACAACTATCTCTTTTTTACTTTTCACCTAGATCCTAGTGTGGCATACACGTACAGCAGAACCACTTTTAACACTATGGAATAAACTGGAATCGCAGGGAGTTATAGCTCCACCTATAGATGATTGGCCCTAAAATATGTAGTATGATTCTAAAAGAAAACAATTATAATCTGTCTGTCAAAATACTTTTTACTTAGGCAGTATTCACTTATTCAATCAACTGTATTCAAAAGAAACCAAAAGTTACATCTAAACGTCATACATAATCAGTCATTCAAATTGTTCATAATATAACGCATACATTTTCTTATGTAAATAATATATAGTTCGTATCATATTACTTATTATTTATAGAAATAAAATATTTTTGAATTTCTATCATTTTTGTATATATTCTGAGTTGCTCTTCTCAATTGTTTATTTGTAATTGTGATTGTTTTAATTCCTTTTGACAAATAGTAGTTATTGTGTATAATTTATTCAGTTCGGTTTTTTTAAAACAAAATCCTTGCTATCATACAACGAAGCTATATGGAAATCAACAATTACTGTGTAGTTTGATCAGCCAATGAGAAACGTGGTTTTCACGAATTAAGTTTTCAATTCAAACAGCTTCCGCATAATTTCTGTTTTGTATTCGTGTGATGAATTAAAGAGATAACTACGTACATGTCTGAAGTTCACAGAGTACTGAACACGAAGTTTACAATAAAATACGCTATTCTAGTCTAATTAGTTTACTTTGTACTCACTAAGACCGCTTTTACTGTATTTCTATTCATATATATATATATCGTGTACCTATAATTGGTTGCTTATCCAGTTATTTAAATATTATTTTGTTATTACTGCAACTCCCATCTCATCATATTGTTTTGTACTTGATTGGTGTTGAATTTCAGATATGATTATTAATTCCTATCGATTATTGCATACAGTACAGTATAATTTTTCAAGTCAAACAGTGGTAATTTCGACTCTCAGTTTGATATACAAACGCGTACGAATTATACTGATTTATATTGGCTATTATATCAAGTTTTTCCTACACTTGTTTACTATCTTTTGGATTGTGTACTTTGTATCTGTTGTTTCCATTGCATCCTGTATTTTCTAGAGTATAGTAATTCTACTTGGACATAAATAAAATTGATGGCTTTCATAGGGAATATGGAGTTGTATTTTCCTTATATTAGACTTTCAAATCTGACTTTATTTAATGATTCATTTGCATGACCGTTTTATATAGTTTCACCTTATGAACTAGATAGATTATAACACTTGTTTTCCCTTTCTCAGTGAAATCATGTTAGTAATGGGATAATGAGACGGAATTTGTCATATTCTTCCTTTCATTTGTGGTAAGGTAAGTCAGTTGTAACATGAAGACTACAATGAATTTCGTCTCATTTTCCTGTTACTGACGTGATCTCCATGAGAAAAGAATACTGAGTAACTAAACAACATGATAAAAGTAACTGGTTTATCTTATATATTTCTGATGAGTTACCCTAGGAGTAATTAAAAGCTTATAGTGCATATTACTGGGAACACATCACAGTAATTTATTGCTCTGCAGTCTGTTGATGATATCTTCGCTCCATAAAGTGGGTCATATTTCGTGTTTCGATTTTCATATTTTCTGGACTTTCGATGGGAAGACTTGCTGCTGAAGGCGCTTCAAGTTTCTTTTTCATTATCAATATTTCAGACCTATGTAAATCTTCCCATTCCCATCCACACTTTGAACTGTGCTGACTACTCTACACCTTTTACACTTTAAAGTTCATAGTAATTAGGATGACGTGGATAAGGTAAACTTTATAAATCGTACTTGATTTTCGATCCTGCCTGATATAACAGATTAGTCAGTTGTATATTACAACAGGTTATTAAGTTAGTCCATTAATTCTGGTTTCGCTACTTCTAATTCACGTCAATCACTGTCGTTGTTCAATGAGTTCCGATTCCTCCATAGACTTAAATTTACTAACTTGGCTAATTCATCGTATAAATGCCATTTACATTCACAGCAAAAAGTCATTGCTTTTCGAATAAGGATTATATATGTTGCCGTTAGATAGATGTTCTGTATTTAAGTAGTCGAATTTAGATAACTATTTTATACATGCAGCAATAGAACCAGACCATCTTAGATTTGATAGAAAAGATATTTCTCTCCAACCATAAATAGTGGTATGTAAAAGTATTTTTTCCGATAATTCGTCTTTCCCTAGTAAAATTTCTTTTGTACGCTGAAACTGTTGTCCATATATAGTACAAAACTCAAGACAACATGAATGGTATGACCTCCAATCCATTTCATAGTGATATACACTTTCGAACTCATCAATGTTCAACACTAGGCGGGCAAAAAGTGCCATCACTTTGGCATTTCAATAATCAATAATAGTGTCTCATTAAACTATTATGAGAAGTAGATATTTTGAAACTTCGTAAATTCCTAATATCTTCCTGTTTGATGTTGTGAACAGGTTGTGTAACTGTAGTCTTTTCTTAACATTGCTTTTAACTTTATAAACTATAGTTTATTTTTTATTGGGACATATTTTAGGACAATGGAAATCGTACAGGATTTGGCAGCCTCCACTTTGAAAGATAATCCATACTTTAGTGCCGGTGCTGGGCTATTTGGAGTTGGGATAGGAATGGCTGCCCTTAGAAGAATGAGTCAAGTTATAAACCTCCTCGTTCGCCGTAATCTCACTTTAACTTTAGAAGTAGCCAGTCATGATAAGGCTTATCCCTGGGTTTTACATTGGATTACGCTGAAATCTAATGGACCGTTAATGAAAGGTGGAAAAAACAAAATAGGTGGTACAAGTCAACACTTAAGTGTTGAAACTAGTGTAGTACGTACAGAAGGCGGGCGAATCAAAGCTGCATTCGGCTTTGTGCCTAGCGTTGGCGTTCACTATATGGTTCACCAAATGAAATTAATCCGAATTGAACGTGTTCGTGCTCAACAATCCTTACAAGGTGCTACTGTAGCTCCATTCGAAAGTGTAACTCTTACGACGTTCGGTCGCAACGCCAGATTTTTTATTGATTTGCTCGAGGAGGCTAGAGAAGAAGCTCTTGCACGTGAAAAGGGTTGGACCGTTGTGTACAAGGTAATTAAGGCACATATGTACTGACCCTTTTTCGTGTTTAATTTTCACAATTATCATATATTCTGATCTTACTCTAATGTCGAAAAAGATTTATCAAACTAATTGTCGTTACTATTGAATATCAGTTTTACCATATTACTAACGTGATTATTTTCACAAACGGTTCATTTTTATGTTGCATATTTCCTACAGAAATAGCATCTACAGGACTTAAAAATGCATAACTACAAATAATTAAATTAACGATATTGTGCAAACTTCCCACGTTGAAAAGTTTAATGTGCGAGTAACACTTGTAATAATATAGCAGTGAAGTGTTTCATCTAAAATATATGTGTTTGACTTTCCATATTACACTACTCCAAAGATATTGGAGTAAGAGATTTCTGGAATTTATATAATTATATTTTCATCCTATTGTGGGACTCGTCAGCAGTGCGCATCCACGATCCCGCTCGCGGGACTGAAACCCAGGGCCTTTAGTCTCGCGCGCGAACGCTTAACCTACTGGACCACTGAACCGGCATCCAATGGTGTTAATGTCTAACCTCAACCAATCCACGAGATTGCGCGACCATCTTCCATTGTACTGAGGTAGATACCTATCTCTACCCGACACGGATGAGCTCCACATCAGTCGGTTCATGATTTCAATCAAAAACTTAATAATCTCCACAACCCCTATACTGATAATTATCATGTGCTTACTAGTCACTAGCTTCGTGAGGGAATTCTTAGAGTTCTAGTGAGAAGCCGTGACCAGTGGAGCTAATTGGTGTCGGGTAGAGACAGGTATCTACCTCAGTACAGTGGAAGATGGTCGTGCAATTTCGTGGATTGGTTGAGGTTAGACATTAACACCATTGGATGCCGGCTCAGGGGTCCAGTAGGTTAAGCGTTCGCGCGCGAGACTAGAGGCCCTGGGTTCGAATCCCGCGAGCGGGATCGTGGACGCGCACTCCTGAGGAGTCCCAAAATGGGATGAAACGACCTTTCCAGCGCTTTCAGGTTTTCAATGGTGGTCTAACATCAATCGGTTCATGATCTCAATAAAAAAATTATAGTTTGTTTGATTATTTTACATATTCTGAAGAATATCTGTTTAAGTAGTTGTTTAGTAGAACTGATATTGTTTTTCTAAATTCATTTTCCGTTCATAAATTATCGTTGTCATTTACTACTCAGAAATGATAATCATACGGTTTTTTAGGTTAACTTGTGATCTGACAATTTGAATGCATAAAAAAGTGAATCATAAACGGACGTTTTCGTTTAGGACGATTCTTAATATATTAGTCTCATAGCTGTACACTTATTTGATTGCAAGAAAATAATTCAGGCTTCCTCTGTGATTTTTTTCTAAGCAGTCAACACACAAAAGATTTTCATTATGTAATTGTCTAGATGCTAGAAGTTTTCTACTCAATTCTTACAGAAACACTTGTGGTTTTATGATATAATTTACCTAGGCTATGTATAGATTGTCTTCTAATTTCCGTCGGCCATATCGGTTCATATAAGAACATAATAAGTGTAATAATCGTACGAAGAAGTCGTTTTTGGTTTTAGGTTTTTCCAGTACAATGAATGTATCTACCTCAAAGAACAGAGACGTACTTAGGATTACTTATTGGTAATGAGTAGATACCCCTGAATGCCCTGGTACGGCCGAGAGTGGGGAGAGTCCGCTCTCCCTCTCGAAATACTCTCACACGGCCACGCGTATATAGCCTCTGCCAGGGAAGTCCTACTCATTGCCTTCTCGTGGCGGGGGTGTTGTTTACGAAAATGAGAGGACGAGAAGCGAATGTCCGGCGCTTTAACCGGATTCCAAATCAATGGTGCACATGGGCTCCAGTATCCTGCGGGAACGAATGGCGTATGAACCAATCGTTGGTCACCGGCTACCATGGGACTGCATCTCCTTACGATGCTCCACTGCCTTGTGGGTTAGACCTTTAGGTCAAAGGCTCGGGGAGTGGCCCCCTAAGATAACCACCTGCTTCGGTTTGGGCACCCGGGCAGTATCACAGCCCACACACAAATGATGAACTGTTTATGTCTATGGAAACTACTTTTGTCGCTTTGAAAAACAATCAATTGATTCAAATTATGATCACTTCAATTATTGTCATTATTAATACTAATATTATTATTACTACTATTATTGTCATTATTGTTATTATTATCATTATTATTATTATTTTCCACATTATTCACCTTCTTTTATACTTATACAGCGGCTCGTCTTTGGTGGAATTCCGACTGTATCTAAACGTTCTCGAGTCACTGTCCGGTTGAAAATTGTATGTTACCACCGAATACGAGGACTGAAGCAGATTTTCTGAAACCACGTGCATCATTCAAACTGGCTGCCTTCAACGTTCGCACATTTATGCAGGTCGGACAACAGATAGGGCTGGCTATGTCTTTGGAAAGTCTTAATATCGACGTATGTTGTCTATCCGAGACCCGTATTCAAGACTCTGGCGAAGTACTACAAATTCGATCTCCATCTGTCGCTTCGAAAAGCTTGTTTTACGTGCGCTTATCCGGGGACCCTGTGGCATCTTCGTCTGGTTTTGCTGGCGTTGGTGTCGCACTAAGCGCTAGAGCTGAGGCAGCACTAGTCGATTGGATCCCCATTAACAGTCGGTTATGTGCTGTTAGATTAGAAAGCTCCATCAAAGTGAGAAGAAATCGGCGTGAGAAACGATGTCTTTTCGTCATCTCCGCCTATGCCCCGACAGATTGCAGCCCGGATGCAATCAAGGATGAGTTTTACCACCAGTTATCAGTTCTTCTCCAGAAAGTGCGTTCGACAGATATTGTAGTACTAGCCGGAGACTTGAATGCTCAGGTCGGGCGTCTAGGCACAGAAGAGAGTCGTTTAGGTGGCCGATGGGGACTCGTTGGTCGCAGGTCAGATAACGGGGACCGTCTACTGCAACTTTGCGCAGACCACAACCTGTTTCTGGCTAGCACTAACTTTCGGCACAGTCATCGCCGATGTGCCACCTGGCGTCCTCCCTCTGCATCTCAAGCCTGGACTCAGATTGATCACATCGCGATCAGCTACCGCTGGCGTGGTTGTGTACAAGACTGCCGCTCCTTTTGGAGTACCTATCTGGACTCTGACCATGCCTTGGTCTGCGCCAATCTTGCCTTACTTTTCAGTGGACAACGAAGTGAACGCCATCAACGGATTGATGTTAGCAAGCTGGTTGCAACTTCTGTTGCAAGTAAGTATCGAACCGAGCTAGCCTCTAGGCTAGCTACCACTCCACCGAAAAGTATAGATGAGCATTGGTTGCAATTGCATGACGCCATGAAAATGGCGGGAACAGTCAGTTGTGGGTTTGCGAAACGTCCCGCTTTTAAGCACTGGGTTTCTTCTGGTTCCTTACAACTCATTGAAGCCCGTCGGTCTACTCCGGGTAACCGTGAGTTTGACCATAAACGAAGGTTTTTACGTAAGGAAATCGGGCAAAGCTTGCGTAAGGACCGAGAAGCCTGGTGGTCGATGCGTGCTAATGAGCTGGAAGCAGCAGCTGCATCTGGTAACTACCGGAAGCTCTTCCAACTCATCCGAGCCACTGGCAGAAAGAAGTCTGGTGTGAGTGAAACAATCTGCGAGGATGATGGGATGCCAATCACAAACATCCATCGACGTCTTGGACGATGGTCAGAATTTTTCGAAGGGCAGTTCAACTGGCCTGCTGCTCCGGTAACATCGGTCAGACTGTCCTGCCCTCCATGGCCGGTGACGACTGATCCACCAAATGAGGAGGAAGTCCACAAGGAACTCCAACTCTTGAAGCGTTACAAATCACCTGGCCCAGATGACTTACCTCCGGCTCTTTTTAAAGATGGTGGTGACTTTTTGACTAAGGAATTGACGACGTTGTTTACAAAGGTTTGGGATCTAGAGAGTGTACCAACGTCATGGAATGAGTCGATAGTTGTCCCTATCTTTAAAAAGGGTTCACGTCGTTCTTGTAACAACTATCGGGGGATAAGTTTACTTCCGATTGCGTCCAAGCTATTGGCTTCCGTCATTCTTCGTAGGTTGTTCAAAACCCGAGAAAGATTGACTCGCGAGGAGCAGGCTGGGTTTCGTTCTGGTCGAGGATGTATTGATCATATCTTCACCCTCCGCCAAATGTTAGAACACCGCCATACTTTTCAAAGGCCAACAATCGTAGTGTTTCTTGACATCAGGGCTGCCTTCGATTCGTTGGATAGGACTGTTCTCTGGGATTGTCTATTGAAGAAGGGTGTGCCTGAGAAGTTTATTAACATCCTAAAAGCCCTGTATAAAAACACCTCAGGCAGAGTGAGGGCATACAACCACCTCTCTCCATTGTTCCATTCGAGCAGTGGGGTTAGGCAGGGTTGCCCAATCTCACCATTCCTCTTCAACTTTGCCATCGATGACATTCTGGAAACAGCTCTGATGAATGTAAGTAATGGTGGTGTGGATCTGTTGCCTGGAGAAAGACTTCTCGACCTTGAGTATGCGGACGATATTGTCTTACTGTGCGATAATGCCCAAGGCATGCAATCCGCACTTAATCAGTTGGCAATCAATGTCCGTAGGTATGGTATGTGCTTTGCACCTTCGAAGTGCAAAGTACTTCTACAAGACTGGCAGGATCCCAATCCTGTACTCACCCTGGATGGTGAGCAGATAGACGTAGTTGAGAAGTTCGTGTATCTGGGTAGCTGCATAAGTGCTGGTGGGGGTGTGAGTGATGAGATCAATGCACGAATAGTGAAAGCCAGAGCGGCTTATGCCAATCTGGGCCACCTTTGGCGCCTTCGTGATGTCAGTCTGGCTGTAAAAGGCCGGATCTACAACGCGTCGGTGAGAGCAGTTTTGCTCTATGCTTGTGAAACCTGGCCTCTCCGAGTTGAGGACGTTAGACGACTCTCTGTGTTTGATCATCGCTGTCTCCGAAGGATTGCTGACATTCAGTGGCAACACCATGTCAGTAATGCAGAGGTTCGGCATCGTGTGTTCGGGCACAGAGATGATAACTCAATTGGTGTCACCATCTTGAAACACCGACTTCGGTGGCTTGGACATGTTCTCCGAATGTCGTCCCAGAGAATTCCACGTCGTGCATTATTTGCCGACTCTGGGACTGGTTGGAAGAAGCGGAGAGGTGGTCAGTGCATGACATGGTATCGTGGCATGAAAGAAAGCTGCAAAGGACTGGCTTGTGTTGGTCCTTCACGACTCCCTGGCTGGGGTCCGAGAGATGGTGCAACACAGTGGCTAGAGACGTTATCAGATATGGCTCAGAATAGAAGCCAGTGGCGATCCTGCTGTAACCTTCTTTTACTTTCTTCATAAAAAGTGGTTGTGTCTCCTTTACCTGAAAGATTTCTTCTGATTGTACCTCTTCGTCATTACTCTCTTTTTCTTTTGCGTCCCTTAGTTTTTTTTTTCTTTCTACTTCTCTTCGAATTCCCATTGTTTTGTGTGGCGCATATATATTGGCGCTCTCTTGTACCAATATTTATGTGTTCAAATAAATAAATAAATAAATAATAAATAAATGAGTAGATAATTGATTCCACTTAATGATTGCTTCAATTTAATTTTTAGTTATACTTGTTGGATGCAAGAATTATGTGTATAATTTTAGTTATTTGCTATTTATACGGTGTAGGCTGTTGGTTCAGAATGGCGCCAGTTTGGTTATCCTCGTCCACGTCGACCTTTAAATTCTGTCATACTGCGTGATGGTATAGCTGAAACTATTGTAGCTGATGTCAAAGAGTTTGTTGGTAGGTAAGCTTTTCAAAAGCAAGTTGTTATATTTTATTTTAGTCATTATTTATCCCTTGTAGTTGATGAGGCTATCGATGAGAATAATAAATAGTGAATGATATATTAGTTAAACAATAATCCAGGAAAATTTTTGTTTCAGATCTCCCTCATAATAGAACGGGGAAAATTACTAATAAGTAATAAATCTAACTATTTCTCCACACCTTATATGTTTTGTATTAGATTCGATTTGCTAAATACTGATCAATATCCCATTTTTACAATAAAATGTTACTTTCTCACCGTGTATGTCCCGTGAACTTATGGTAAATTTTGATCAGTATGTGAATTCTTGTTATGTTTCAATTGGTTTCGAATCAGTTTTCACCATGATTGTTCTAATATAGGTGTTTATATTACTGATGAAGCTCTTAGTGCATATAAGATCAGTATGAATAATTTCAAGTTGTTTCATTTGTCATTGTTATTTCGTATTTCGTTGTTTGAAATACAACCTATTGAACTTTATCGATCATTACAAAGAGCGTAGATTCTCATAAGAGACACTCCTCGTTTTAGACCCGCATTAATCAATCCTTTGTCACAATAGCTTGATAGAGTGATAATTATTCCCTGAGTTGATCTGGGAATAATAACATTTCTTGACGTTTGTCACATACTTTCGCTGACGTCAATTGTAGAAATGTAATTAAATCATTCTCAAGTTTTATCAAGCATCTAAATGAAAGCACAGTATGTCTAAATAAATCACGTGTTGAAATTCAAGGAACTAACTGACAGCGTTTATTGCAGATGTTTAAAAATCAGCATCTATCCGTTAACCGTAGTTCGGTATTGAAATTAAGTCATGATAGTCCTTTCTTAAAAAATTTCCTTGTTATGAAATAAGTGTAGCGATTACTAAGCAATCTCTCACTACCGTATTCTTTTGGACACCAATTTTCCGTTATTTCTTTTTATTGTCATTTAGACAACCAGGCCTGGTACACTGATCGTGGTATACCATATCATCGTGGTTATTTATTATATGGACCACCAGGATGTGGCAAAACTAGTTTCATAACAGCTTTGGCAGGTAACATATATACTACTTATCAGCTCGTAGTTTCTATGATCATTATGTGACAATATCAGGAGGGTGTGGTTTTAAAAAATTCAAATAGCAGATTTATAATCATGTAAGCATTTCAGCGGAAAGTATGAATCTGACTAATTGTAAAATATATCAACAGAACGGTTCTTCACCTAGAATTAGTATGTAATATGTTGACATTGTTACGAATGTTAGAACAGTCATTTGCCATACTTTTTCGTTCAATTATAATGGAATAAATCGTTTCCCAGATGAACCTTTTTAAAGATATGTATACATATTTTGTGTTTCACTTTTTCATTCTCTGTTCGATTTGCACTGAAATTTGTTGTTCATTTAATATTTCAATAAAAATAATGATCATTTGTCAAGATAAATTTTAATGCTTAACCCTGAATAAATAGAACTATAACGCGTCGTACAAGCTATTCGTATTCATAAATTTAAACAAATCAAGACCGAAAATATTTACAGAATGCAGTGAATTCACCACATTTCATTACTTCCTTTTCAGCTACATACGAACCAATAATTTTAGTTGGTTCCAACTTTGATATATTTACTTCAATTTTATAAATAGAGTGACATCAATACACAAGCTCACATACTGAAAACGTATTTCAAATCTAAATATGCAAATGTTTATTTTTTTCATCAAAGTAGTTGATCCAAATGATAAACTGAATTTGCTATGTGAATGATTGTGGATTTTATATTAAGCTTAGATTAATTTCTTACCAAAAGAGGTACCTAAAAACGGTTTTCAGCATATCATCTCTCACCTTCTTTAACATCTTAGTATAATTCCATTATTTGTTAATCTTAAAAGATCCATTTATATGTAGACAATTTTACCGTTATTGGATTATCATTTTCGTAATATCAGAAACAAATGTCCGTTGGTTAAGTTGTCACAGCTCACGTCATCGCAGCGTGTCCAAGGATCTATGATTATCAAATTGACTCATATTTTCAAAGATGATATTTCTTTTTTGAGGTTGATTATTACCAAGTATTTTTTATTAGAGTCCCTTGAAATTATATGAATTAGGGGTCTCATTTTGTTTTTACTGTAGCTTGTATAAGTTTTAACAATTTGTTTGCTAAACCTAATGAATATAACAATGAATGACTTAATCAATTTCTGAAATTATTTTCTAGGCCATTTAGATTATAGCATTAGCATATTAAATTTAAGCGAATTCGGCATGACGGCAGATCGATTAGATCATTTATTAACGCATGCACCGCTTCAAACTATCATCTTACTTGAGGATATTGACGCAGCAGTGCATAGTCGTAACACATCAAATAATGATCTACTTCATAGCAAAGGTTGGTTTCGTTTAGTTTTTATCGTTTAATTAATGTCATTTAGCTTATGAAGGTATGCCAACACTCACTTTAAGTGGATTGTTAAATGCACTAGATGGTGTAACCTCGACGGATGGTCGCATCATATTCATGACTACAAACTATATCGATCGGTGAGTATCTGAATTATTGCATACAAACTTTTTTCCCATATTAACTCTCATTTCCCAGGTGCAGGTTTGTGTAATTTTATTTAGATCATATTATCCAGTAATTCAAACCGAAGTAGACGGAGTGGCGTTCTAGCCTGCTTCTTGGTAGATAAAAGTTAAACTCCTCGGCCATAGTCGATACTTTGAACAACTATCAGTAAAGTTGGAGTAATTTCTTCTTCACTACAACTGGTTCATAGTGAAATTATGTATTTTAAATTTCATTTATTCGTAAATAAATTTTTCATATTGGTAATCATTAATGAACAAACTCAAAACAAACTGACACTATAGTAGGTAGAACAGAGGTAATTATCAATCGCTGAATTTAATTTTTTTTCTGTTATGCTTAGGTGTTATTTATAGTTTATCTATTTATTTAACAACATGAAACTTGGCACAACATAGTACTAAATAATAAAATGTGTCTGGAAGTATAGATAACATTGTAAGAAAAAGGAAGTGCATTTGGATAGAAAGGAGTGATAGTTAATCATTAACATGAACATTATATCAAGAGGAGAGATATTTACGCATACAAACAATTAAACCCGGAATTATTTCAGCTAAAAAAGTTCCTTTGACATTTATGAAGAATGTTGGGAAAATTAAAGCAGAATTGCCATTTTTTCTGTCCTGAATCAAGTTCGATAACGTTTAAGTTGGATCACCTCTAGGACCTCGAACGGAGCGGTGGTGAACCGGCAGGTGCTTCTCCTACACTGCTTAACTCAAATGATGGTGACAACCCGTAAACCTCTCCGCATTTCCTAATCAGTCCCAGCGTCGGGAATTAATACAAAATGTGTAAGCCGCTGAGGTGACATGTCCAGCCAACCGAAGCCGATGTTTCAGGGCAGTGAAATCAATTGAGTTATCGTCACTATGTCCAAACAAGCATTATCAAACATAGTGTTGCTATTACCTGTTGTGAAAACCCCTCCGAAACAACAACGACTAAACACAGAGTCGTATGACATCCTCGACTTGCAGATGCCAGGTTTTGAAGCATGGATTAAAACTACTCTCATTGCCATAGTATCCCACACCAAAACTATGATTCTCCTGAAGAATAGCAATATGGTTTCGTTTCGATTGATGGTAGTCTCAGAACACGCCATACTAGAAGACGTTTACCATGCGCTCATTACAAGTCATGGTAACCTGACTTGGTGGTGCTGTGTTCTCTAAGCTGAAATGGCTTAGTTGTAAAGCTTTCACTGGCTTGATGGTGTCTTTCAGGAAGAGAATGAAAACCTCGCGACTAAAATTTTCAGCTTTAGGGATAGAACACCACCAAAACCCAATCAATATTTGGTTTTAGTTTGGATGGTTTTCGATAACACTTCGAAAATACTGAAACTGAACTACAAATATCCTCTATCTCAAAATATTAATCAATCCGTGTTTCCCCCCCTTTCTTTACATTTTTATCCTACTTTTGACGTAAAACAATACAATTTTAACTTACCTGCAGAGATGCATAAATGAAAAAAAGTTAAGTCATAAAGAGATGGGTTCAATATAGATTATTTTGGTTGCTTGTGTATCCGAAGGGTATACATATGTATAGTCGTTGAGGATTTTTATAAACACTTTATTTCGAACAATATAGTCCAATATTGTTTACTTCAAAATATCATACAACTAAACAAAGTCAGCGTTATATGCATTACTATTTAGATTCGTCTGTCGCTTAACCAGGAAGCTTCACACAAATGAAATAAGAGCCTGGCTTCAGCGATAAAAATTTTTTTACAATAAGTGTGACTTGGGTGTTTTTCTGAATGATCTCACAAATAGCTTGTCATATAAACAAGCCAAACTAGGGGGTTCTCGTGACATTTGCACTAATGCTTGCTTAAGTCATCACCTAGTACTTTACGGATGATCAGCAACGGCAGTCTATTCACGCATAAATTTACTAGCAACGTAATAACTGTATTACTTGGTCGGATTCGATAATACACTCGTGTTACTGGTCTTTATTTCGTTATTATTATTGCTGATGTAATAACTCCACCTGCAGCTTTGTAGAATACTTGTAGTTAATTTGTTGATTCACCGTTTTTTTTTTACTGACAGACTTGATCCTGCTCTAATACGACCCGGTCGCGTTGATATGCGTGTACGAGTTGACGTTTGCGACTCGTCTCAACTAATGCGCATGTTTAGTCGATTTTACCCACAGTGGACGTCGTCTGACATTAATAATTTAGCTCAAAAGTTTGCAAGTCTATTAAAGGATACACCTTTGAGTTCAGCACAAGTTCAAGGTTATTTGCTGTTGCATAAAGATGACCCTTTAAAAGCAATTAGTAATATAAATCAACTGTTGTCTCCGTATGATTCATAAATTTTTAATCTTATACCCAGTGATACGCTTAAAATGTAACGTAATTTAGATTCTCAGGATGGTTTAGATTATTGTTGATTAATCCCATTCAAATTGTTTGTTGTTTATAATCTTGTGTACATAATCTATGTTTTTAATCAAATAAAGAAATTCGTATGAAAAGGTTAGTTAAAATATCCAAATTTCTACTTGAAATGTGAATTATTATCCAAAAGTTTTCAGTAAACTAGTTATCTGAATATACGGATGAAATCTATCTGTCATAAATTGTGATTGGGGATATATTGATTTCAAAATTCCTCTAATTCGAACTCGATGGACCGGTAGCTGACACGAAACACTCCGACTATAATTCCCAACGTAGTGGTAGACGGAGAAGTTAGTAGAAACAGAAAATTCAAGGGGATAGATTTCAAATGAAACGACCCAGTATAATAGCATCAAAACATGATTTTGGGACACTCAAATTAGGAAACTAAAAATGAGAATAGCTAAACAGATAACAGCGAATTTCATTGCGGAAAAATGAATTCGCAGTTAATGTTACATTTAAAAACCGACATTTGAAAAGAGCTAAAATCTCCTTAGCAGTGCACAATCATATCCAGTAGTTGGTTCACACGAATTAAATCGCATAATAGTGTGAGTTTTATCCCGACTGTTTTTTTCTACCTTGATGTGGTGGTCGGGCTTGCCTATCGTAATGAACGAATCGAGCTATACTGGCTGGAACAATCGTTCCTCAAGGCCCTACCATGCCAGATAGGTCAGTTGAAGAACGGTAAGATTAAAAGCAGCAGACCCAAAGGCGATGCCGTACTGCTGACTGTACAGAGGCGGGGTAGCATTAAGGTGTTTCCTTCAGACAACCAACATAACTCGGTCAGTCAGTCAGGAACAACGTAGAACTTCGTACGTACGTACATCAGTTCGAGTTGCCACACCACATTAGCACAGAGATGCAGTTGTCGATTCAAATCCCGTAATCGTAGAGGTAGTAAGAGTATAAGCAGTAATCGGGAAGATTAGGGTTCGGAGATGTTATTTAAAGAGTATAATCCAGTGAAATAAATTTGGAAAGAGGAAAAAAGTGACATGAAGAATTCAGAAGATTAGAATTTGGGAGAACACAGAGAGTGGATGCACCTGCGCCATTGCAAACGATTTTGAGCCATGTCATTCAGGGTCTCTAACCATCGGTTGCTATCATCTCGCGGTCCCCAACCAGGTAGTCTACACCTACCAACATGACTCAGTCCACTTGTCAGTGACTCATGAACTTGTGCCATGTTTTGGTCTGGCCGCCCCTAGCTTTCTTCCAACCTACTCCTATACCACTGAACATAGCACGTCGAGGCAGTCGGTCGTTGGGCATACGTAACACGTGTCCCAGCCATCTCAACTGATGAAGTTTCACTACTTCATCAATTGATTTGCCATCCTTACCTAGTACCCGTTTCCTAACAACTGTGTTACTTACTCGATGGTCCCATGATATATGAGCAATGTTTCGAAGACACCTATGATCAAATACTAGTAGCCTACGGATATCCTCTACTCTTACCGGCCATGTTTCACTGCCATAAAGTAGGACGGAACGAACTGCTACGCAGTAAACACGTCCTTTGGTTGATAGACGGATATCTCGCCTACGCCATAAATGACGCAAGTTGGCAAAAGCTAGTCGAGCCTTCTGTATCCGTGCTGAGATTTCGTCACACACTAAACCACAAGGGCTGATGAGACTTCCAAGATAAGTGAAGCGGTCGACACACTCAACTACTTCACTCCCTATCATTAGTTCGGGTGTCGATGTAACCCAATCCTGAAGCAACATTTTGCATTTCGAGGGAGAGAATCGCATCCCGAACATGCTTGCATTGTTGCTTAGAGTGGTCAGAAGACTGCATTTTATCAGCGTCTTCACCAAATAAAACTATGTCATCAGCATATTCTAAGTCAACAAGTGAACCTCCCGGTACAAGATCAACCCCTGTATATTTAGATGAGGAGAGTGTTATCTCTAAAAGTACGTCGACCACAAAGTTGAACAAGAATGGGGAGAGTGGACAGCCCTGACGAACACCACTTGAGGTAATCAATTCTGATGACAGTTCGCCATAAGCTCTTACTCTACCAGTTGTGTTCGAGTAGAGAGCCTTTATAAGGTTAATGTACTTCTTTGGTACTCCTTTCAGTGACAAACACTGCCATAGAACCTCACGATCAACAGAGTCCAATGCCGCCTTAAGGTCGAGAAATACTACCATTGTGGGGCGTCTGAATGTGTGTCTGTGTGGTAGAACCTGACGTAGTGTGAATATCTGATCGATACAACCACGTCCAGGTCGAAAACCAGCCTGGTTTTCTCTAGTCTGCTCTTCACGAGCTTTAGTTAGGCGTCGAAGTATTATTGAGGCTAATATTTTAGACACTATATTAGTCAAACTGATTCCTCTGTGATTGTCACAAGAGGACTTTTGTCCTTTCTTAAAAACTGGCACAATCAGTGATTGAGACCAGTCAGATGGGATTACGTCCAGTTCCCAAATTCTACCTAAGACCTCAGTTAATCTCATTGCTAATACTGGACCACCATCCTTAAAAATCTCAGGAGTAAACCTGTCAGGGCCTGCTGCTCTCCCTCGTTTCAGATTTCCTATGGCTTTTTCAACTTCGTAAAGGGACGGAGGACCTACATTAACTTGCCATTCAGGTTGACTGGAGATCGTGGGAAACCGAAGTGTGGCTGAAGGCCAGTTGAACTGATCCCTAAAGTGTTCTGCCCATCGATCCAATCTCCTGGATTGAGAATGAATAATATGTCCATCTTTCTCTGAGATTGTTTCGCTAACGGTCGGGTTCCTGATTCCGGTTTCCTTAACGAGTCTGAACAATTGTCTGCTATTACCTATTGCCGCTGCCTTTTCTATATCTCTTGCTTTCGCTACCCACCACTGTTCGCGATCATTGCGAAGACTTCTTGTCAGCTTGCGCTTAAGCTGACTCCGCTCTTCATTATGTTCAGAGCCAGGTGGAATGAGTTTCCGACCAACATAACTGCAGTGCTGCCTTCCCACAAAAAAGAGTGGGGTTAGAAAAGCTCGACCCTAAAAATACCTCGCCTTATCCCACGAATATCCGTCTCCGGTGGTAAGGTCCCAACACGTACGCAGCCAACATGGAAACTCACAAAAGGTCATGTATGACCGGCCTCAAGCGGTTGCCCCTTGGGCACCGCAGTCACGCTCTCAGGTCACTAAGACCTCTAATCCAATATCATTTTCAGATACCTCCAAAAGAACCCTTCCTCTTTGTGTGCGACCGGGCAGTGATAACGGCCCTCATACATCTAAAAGCACTCAAGACCACTTTATTCATTATCAACCAGCCTGGTTAGCCCTAATGGGTTGGTGTCTGACGAAATCTCAGCACGGATTCGAAAAGCTCGCTTGGCTTTTGCCAACTTACGTCACCTTTGGCAAAGGCGAGATATCCGTCTATCAATAAAAGGACGAGTATACTGCGCGGCAGTCCGTTCTATTCTACTTTACGGCTGCAAAACATGGCCACTAAGAGCAGAAGATATTCGTAAGCTACAGGTATTTGATTACAGATGCCTTAGAAATATTACTTGGGTCTGTTGGGATCACTGGGTAAGTAATAGTCAGATTAGACGCAGGGTATTAGGGAATGATGGTAAATCAGTTGATGAGGTTATGAATCTTCATCGACTGAGATGGTTGGGTGACGTATTGCACATGTCCAACCACCAATTACCACGGCGCACAATGCTGACTAATGTTGGAGACGGCTAGAAGAAAGTTAGGGGCAGCCAAACCAAAACGTGGCATCAGAGCTTGAAGTCACCAACTCCTCGTCTTAGCCATGTTGGTAGATGCAGACTACTTGGTTGGGGTCAGCGTGACTATCGTAACGAATGTTTGGAGACTCTGGGTGACATGGTTCAGGATCGATCACAATGGCGTAGGTGTATACACTCTGTCTTCCCTTAGACCATAAGATTAAAATTATTCCATACCTTTTTATGTACGAAATATTTTTTACTACGTGGAGCGATGGATATATGTGCCTGGTTCTACTTTGTAGCTGACTGACAGGGAGGGTTTTATGAGATATATCTATTCATTTCGTAATAAACGGATGATTACTTAATTCTACATTCACTAATATCTCCCAGTAACCAATCGTATCGCAGTATCAGACGAAACGTAAAATTACTTCTACATGAGTATTATCAACATCTTGGAAACATCGGAACCCTGTAACGAGATTGTAAGGAGCATAATAATACCGTTTGGATTTCGAAATTCCTGTAGCACAAATTATTAATACATGTGTCTTCCATGTTAAATAGTCATTTAAGTCACATGGATGCTGGGAATTCATCTGTACTAACATGCACATTCATCATATATGTATGCTTATGCAATTGAAAAACCAGGTAACGCAGTTGTAAAAAAACTTATACTAGTAAGTTTATTCTACTATACAGATTGTTTGTTTTTGTTTTAAAAATAAAAATGACCAAGTTATGGGCTTTCGAGTGTTGTTGTTTCTGAATTATAGGTCTCGAAGTCCCAATCAACTGAACTTTTTTCATTTATTGTTACATAACACTGAATTATATCTCCTACTTTCCATTGTGAAATGAAATTCTTTGCGGATAAATTTTGATTCTCGCTATGAATATCCTGAACTTCAGGAGAAACTAATACAATACCACAATCTACTCCTTTTCGAATACTTTCAACAACAGATTTTTCATGACGCAATGAGTAACAGATAGCTCGATCCACTATGGTATTTTTAGAATCAGGAAAGTCTTTTTGAGCGGTGGTTGGATTTTCTCCATGTTTATTGTTTGGTGATGTTGAATGGTGAGCTGGACGGACAATGCGGTAACATAATTCAGTTGGTTGACCATCAACACCTAAAATGATAATAGAAGACAAAATAAAAAATGTTGTACGAATAAC